TACATTCTGAAATAAAATTCAACTGGGAATCTCAAGAATATCTATTAACGCTGGCATAGCAGATTTCTTTATCTGTTGCCACCCCAAGTTTCGACTCTTCTCAGGCTAACATGCATCACAGCCAAAGGTTATGACAGACACACTTTGGTCCCTTCCCGTGCAGATCTTTCAACCGCAGCAACAGCGCTCTGGCTGCCTGCCTGGGCGTCCTCCTCCTCCCTCTCTGCCCCACCTCACACTGATGATAGGAAGGAAGAGTGTGAGAAGAGATGGCAAGTGGGGGCTGTGCTGACGGGGACTTTGTGGGGAACACACGGATCGCTCTTATTCCAGCAACCTTTACCGAAACCACCCCAATAAACACGCAACAGGAGTAAAAACCGTATTTATTTTGCAAACGTAGCTTCAAATTCCTTAGCACGCCACTGCCCCCCGTTCCTCTCTCCTGGTCCTCCACGGTGCCCCACCCTAAAGCCCCTCCTGTAGAAATTCTGCAGCCCCCATTCTTGGTGCATCCTTGCTCTGGTGCATGTGGGGGGCTCTAGCGGCCAAATGCAGGCGGGTCATTTCAATGCCCCAGGAGCTAGGGGGAGGGCTGGTTGTTGAGAAGCTGTTCTCAGCCCTCCACTGCCAGCTGGCAGAGAGAGGAAGCTCCATCACTCAGGCCATGTAATGGTAGGTATGTGCTCACCACTCCAACTTTACAGGCCCCAGACACACGGCTCGGGCTCCCCCAGCAAGTGGCGGGTGCTATTTGCCTTCCACTGTGAGGGAAGGGCTCCATTAGTCATCGCCGTTAGAACAGGGCTACTAACTCCCAGGGGAGGACTTGCCTGAAGTAGAGCTATGAGCAAACAATCTGTGCCCCACCTCTCGTAAGTCCATGTTGGGCACGATTCCTGGGTCAAGTACGTGAGGAGAGCCCTGCCACGGCCGGCAGTACCTGATGGTGCAAGGAAGGCCAAGTTTTACTCTTCCGGGGCCCCCAGCGGGGTGACCCGTAGCCACCGCCTCCCACCAACTCGCGTGACGTGCAAGAAAAGATGCCTTTTCTGTTTCCTCCATGAGCCAAGGGTACTTGGATGGGGCAGTAAGTGTCTTGCTAATGAAGCTACTCCTGATAAACAAAAGTGCAGGGGCAGAGCCACAGCTGAGCTCATAGGAAGCGGTAGGAAGGCAGGCAGGACCCACAGCGAACAGGAGGCGGACGCCAGGAGCACAGGCAACCATGTGAGTGAGATCTACACTGGAAAGCATTTGGAGAAAAGAGCCTAAATTGCTGGCGTCCCCTGAAGGTAATGACATGTTACGCTACCATGCATCTTAGAAGACAATGGATGATGAAGAACCACGCACATGGAAACATAAACAGCAGCAGCACCAAGGGAACTTGAGTCTTAACCATCATTATTTTTAACATGCAAAGTATGTCTCCGCATTACCTGTATGATTAAACATTTTTTTAAAGGCACAGTAAGTAGTTATAGAGACAGAATCCAGTCAAGCAATGAGTTGGGTGACGCCACTGTGATATACTTGATCATATCTGGATTAAGAGCTATCTATTATAATAATAACTATGTAGGAGAAAGCTTGATGTAAATGAAGCCAGAAAGGAAGATGGTCCAGCCCAAGTTCACGTGTATGTGGTATCTGCTTTGAAAGGAGTGGTCCCAGGGATGCCTGGGTGGCTTAGTGGGTTAAACATCCAGCTCTCAATTTCGGATCAGGTCATGATCCCAGAGTTGAGATGGAGTCCCACGTTGGGCTCTGCATCGGCATGGAGCCTGCTTAAGATTCATATTCTCTCTCTCTCTCTCTCTCTCTCTCTCTCCTGCTCACACTCTCCAAATTAATAAATGAATTAAAAATTAACTTTTAAAAACAAGTGGCCCCATATAAACTGATAAAGCTACCAAATATCTCTAACATAATACCCTATTCATGTCTCAATTCAAAATGAGAGACTGTCACTACTACCCTCACAATATTTTACTCTGCGGGAAAACACAAGTGGCCAGTTGGTTAGGAACTTTGATTACTACACATCCGTGCCCATCTTTAGTCAGGCTCTTCAGCAAGTGGGTACAGAAACGGTCCTTTAATGCCTTGGGTGCCTTCTTGCTCACCTAATGGGAAACAGACTTTAAGGAATTGAAGAAATAACCATAGTTTTTAGTTTGGAGGATGTTTTTGTTCTGTTTTTTGTCAAATAGCCTTTGGTAATTTCTAAGAGACACTATGGGTTTGTTTGGTTTCCGTACAGCCTAAAAGTTAAAACCATTTTGAGAGTCAAACTGGGTACACAGAGTACCAGGGAAGTGTGAATGAGGATGTACAACAGGAAAAGGGTAAGAAATAAGACAGGGGTGAGAACTGCAGGGGAGTGTGAAAAGAAAATTCTATACTAAGAAAATCAGAAAAGTCGAACTCTGTTCTAGAGAACGGCAAGACAAACCACGGACCGTCTTCACTCACTCGCCTAAACACATGGGCTCTAACATTTGATAACCCAAGTATCCGTGGCTAGTGGTTACCATCCATTTAAAAGTCTAGAACCCGCCATGCCACCGAACTTTCCACAATGGTGGAGATGCTGTATTCTGTGGTGTCTAATCGGGCCACCATAAGCCACATGTGGTTACTACTGAACACCTGAAACATGACTAGTGCAACCAAAGGAATGAATTTTTAATTTTATTTAATTTTAATTAATTTTAACGTAAGCAGCCACATGGAGCTAGCAGCTACTGGATTGGAGAGCTCAAGCTCCAGAACACAGGAATGTGGCTCATTTCAAATGCCTTTGAAACTTCATCAAACTATTCATTTCACTTATTTTTTTTTTAATTTTTTTTTTCAACGTTTATTTATTTTGGGGACAGAGAGAGACAGAGCATGAACGGAGGAGGGGCAGAGAGAGAGGTAGACACAGAATCGGAAACAGGCTCCAGGCTCTGAGCCATCAGCCCAGAGCCCGACGCGGGGCTCGAACTCACGGAGCGCGAGATCGTGACCTGGCTTAAGTCGGACGCTCAACCGACTGCGCCACCCAGGCGCCCCTCATTTCACTTATTTTTAATAGACTTTGCATACATAAATTAACTAGGATTTCCTATGAGACACAGCTCTTGCTGCCTGCTTCATGTCAGGCATTTGACTTACTAGAACTATCTTACTTGTCACCAGGTTAATTGCCACTCTGCTAGATCAGAAGCTTCAGGAGGGCAACGCTGGGCCGGCCTTACTCGCGTCTCTATCCTGACCTGACACAGGTCACTGCATGCTTAGGAAACACTGCTCACTGATGAGAGTATCAGAGAAGCAAATCAAAGAGGAAGCATCTTTTCTAGAAGGACTGTGCATAGAACGATGCTCCTGAACCCCCAAGGCTTATTTTAAAACCCATTTCCAAGTTGTACAAATCAATAGTATCCTTGGTAGCTAACTCAATCTTTCTCCACTTTAATTTCCTTCCACCCCTTCCTCAAACAAAAGTAACCAAGATTTCTCACCTCAGGATTATGTATTCAATATTACTTTTTTATCAAAAAATTCAATCATTTCATGGTTTTCCTAAAACAAATCACTTCTAAACCATTATGTGTTCTTTTCATTTTTCCCTAAAAACCACGTCAAGCTTACTTGCACCACCTCAGTGATAGTCTATAAGCCGAACATGGGAGACCCAGATGCAGAATGGTTACAAAGGGTCTATTAACATCTTTTGGACTGTTTAGCTTACAGATCAAAGGATATATATGTAAAAGAATATGTATTTGTAAACAAAGCATATCCACACACGCATACATAACCACACATATATACGTATATATTTCCACATACACATATACATACCACTGAGTCTCCAAGTCCTTTATCATATCATCTACCTACCTCATTCCACTTTTTTTTTTCAATGTTTATTTATTTTCGAGACACAGGGAGAGACAGAGCATGAGCATGGGAGGAGAGGTAGAGAGAGACACACACACACAGAATCCGAAGCAGGCTCCAGGCTCTGAGCTGTCAGCACAGAGCCCGACGTGGGGCTTGAACCTATGAACCATGAGATCATGACCTGAGCCAAAGTCGGATGCTTAACCGACTGAGCCACCCAGGCGCCCCTACCTCATTCCACTCTTAAAGCCAAATAGTTATGGTGGCCAGAAAGACATGGATTAGAATTCTAGCTCTTCTACTTTTTAGATACGCACTCTTGGGAAAATTACTTAAACCCTCTGGGCTCCCATTTCCTAAGTTTGGTGAAGGGATTGGATGGTATACCAGCTACGAATGATTCCAGAAGAGCACCTGATGCACAGCAGGCATACTGTATTTGCCGAACGAATAACTGATTTCCTCTGTTTCTTGGGCCCTCTTTCCCAGGCTTACAAACTTCCCCAAAATGGGCAAGAGCTGGTTATCCTCTGATTTAAAGTGAGCAGGACTTGAAGATTAAAAGCAGATTCAAGGGCAAGCTAATGATCAGGGATTGAAGAAACGAAGCAAAGAGACAGATCACAGTCTTAAGAAAATGGGGGAAGAACTCACTCAAAAAAGACATTTCTGATGCCCAACAAAGATCAAACGAAACTCCTGTGGAAATCGTCCGACTCAGTCTACCTTTGTAGGATGGCACTATTTCTAATGTCTATAACTGGTTGAAATCTGTCATCTGTTTATCTTTAAAGTGGTAAAGATTACAAGACTCCTCGTTACTCAGCCTCCGTACCACACATTTGGTAAAGGTGGTTTCTAGCACCTTCGCCCATTCTAGAGCTTCTCCAACACTCAGACGGCATTTATAAACAGATCTGAGATACAGCTTTAACACCTTATATGAAGGATCCATAGGTATGCAGAAATCAAGTACTCCTTTAAAAAGTTAGGCTCTGTATTTTGTGTCTAGACTCCCTGGTGGGGAAGTACATCAAGAGTCAAGATCCTACGGAATAATGTCAACAGGAAGGGGGGAAGGTCACGGCACTCATCGGTACCTCCGCTTCCTGCAGGATCCCGCGGCCGAGGCACACCGTGTCGGGGCAAGAGATGGGAGACCCGCATCCCTCTCGGATTGCCAGCTGCAGGTACTGCTTCAAGCACTAGAAGTTAAGAAGAAAAAAGACAATTACCCATCGCATTACAGTAGCACCAAGGTTATGTAACCGCTGCTGCCTCTTCTTCCTTCCTTGGCAGTCCTGGGGCTCTTGGACTCAGGAAACATCAGTTATCCCAAGTGTGAACAGTAAGAGCCATCACTTTGGAAAGAAGGCAAGACAGGCGATTAATTATGTATGACCTCAATATCGAGTTTATTCAAGGCCACAAGTCAAACTCCTGTACGCTCACACATTTTATCCCCCACAGGTTTGGCAAAGAAGAACCACTCTTTTGCACTAATGGCAAATGCCTTATTTTTACTTTTTCTTTTTTTTAACTTCTATGACTTCCTAATTCCGTTCTTACCTAGTAGTCCTTTGACCCAAAGTAGAACCCTGTGACTCTCATGCAGAGAGAGCCAGACAGAATCAAAATACAGCTGATCCTTGAACAACACAGGTTTGAACTGCATGGGCCCACTGATATGTAGGTTTTTTTTAATAAATATGGTATAGTACAGCAAATGTATTTTCTCTTATGATTTTCTTAATATTTTCTGTAGCCTACTTTATTGCAAGAATACAGTATATAATACATATACAAAACGTGCTAATCAACTGTTTATCAGGAAGGCTTCTAGTCAACAGTAAGCAAGTTTTGGGGGAGTCAAAAGTTATATGTAGATCTTCAACTTCATGGGAGGGGTGTCAGGGCCCCTAACCCTTGTGTGGTTCAAGGGTCAATTGTAAGATTAAGGCACTGACTTATGTAGGAACACTAATAGTAAATACACCTGGGAAATATAATGTCAAAGACAATTTGGGAGAATGAGACATTCCCAAAACTATGGGCTTTGGTGGATGCTTTGGTGAGGAGGTTTGAGTAGAATCTGGGGAAAGAAGAAATTGGATTGAAAAAAGAAACCCAGAAAGAAGAGGGATAATACCAAGAACAAACTTAGTCTTCTCACTGCCTGTTGTACCTGGATCGTGGGTAGTGGATGAAGACGGGGTCAGACTGAGAAGGCAGGAGAGGGGCTGGCAGCATTAAGGGAAAACTCCAACTCCCCCCTTCTCCCTCCCAACCCAGCCCAACACACCCACAGGAGATTGAGGGCCACCGTTCCAGAAGACGGAACTCTTAGGAAATCCAGAAGTTGACTCCTCAATTTCTACTAATTTGCTCATAATTGGTGAGCTCTGTGTGCATGACAAAAGGTCAAGCACACATGCTGGAGGACAACACCGAAAAAATACATAAGCTAGTCGATGAATTAATGATTCTTATAAAGTGGTGATCATTTAAAACTGAGTTCAGATTTTTCAAATTTATACACTTATGTATCAACCTGCCTCATTACAAATATTGCTATTGTACCAACCTTTTATTAAAGCTTAACTACTAGGGCACCTGGGTGGCTCAGTCTTCTAGGCATCCGACTCTTGATTTCAGCTCAGGTCATGATCTCAGGGTTCGTGAGTTCGAGCCCCATGTTGGGCTCCGTGCTGACAGTGTGAAGCCTGCTTGGGATTCTCTCTATCCACGCACCGCCCCAGGGCCTCCGTCTTCCCTTCCCCCACTCACAGACTCTCTCTCTCTCTCTCTCTCTCTCAAAATAAGTAAACATTAAAAAAAAAAAAAAAAGCTGATTAGGGGCACCTAGGTAGCTCAGTCAGTTAAGCGTCTGATTTTGGCTCAGGTCATGATCTCGTGGTTCATGAGTTCAAGCCCCGCGTTGGGCTCTGTGCTGACAGCTCAGAGCCTGGAACCTGCTTCAGATTCTGTGTCTCCCTCTCTCTCTGCCCCTCCCCTACTCGTGCTCTGTCTCTCTCAAAAATAAACATTAAAAAAAAAAAACAAAGTAAAAAAATTTTTAAAAGCTTAATATTAAATAAATTCTATGGTCAGAATACTGATGCTGTAATACTGAACCCATTCTGAACCCAATTATAAATGATCACCACTTTATAAACTATGCTAAATTCATACAATGGAATACTGAGGAATCATGAAAAATGTTTTCAAATGGTGTTTAACGACATGGGGAGATGCTCAGTATGAATTGGAAAAGAAAAGATGATTTGGTATGAACTGGAGAATAAAGACATCTGGGAACAGGGGTCCTTCTAAGGAGTTCCTCCGGCAGTGGACTGCATATAGGTACTGTATTTTAGCTCTTTCTTTCTTGTTGGAGACAACGGTGAACGATCATTTGCTCTAGGAGTTACTGTGCTAACATGGTCTCTTGTAACAAGAAGAAAGGGAAACACAGGAGAGCCAGAGCAAGGAAATGCGGGGAAGAATTTCAGTGCACAGGCCAAACTCGAGAGGAGCAGCAAAGCTGGCTCACAGAAAGGAGGGCCACACCAAGGGACGAGTGAATCAACGACGCGAAGGCCTGTCCACCGGCTCTGCTCCTAAGGACCTCTCTGCCATCCCTGTGCCACACAGACTCCAGTGTGACCACCTTGATACCCACAGCTGCCCCCTGACATTTGAGCAGAGAGACTCTGAAAATGTACGGTCTCTAGGCTCAGGGGGGAGGTATCTGAGAAAACAGAGTGAACTGTGCCATGAACGCCTATCAGAATATCTGGGCCCTAGCCATGGTTCCACTCCATCAGGTGACAAGAGGAAAGTTACTTAAACTGCTCCCCAGACTCGCTTCTCTTAATTGAAAAAACAAGCAACAACAATACCTGTTATGGTTACCTTACAGGGCTTAAAACCCTCGTACACACAAACACAAACCTGGAATACTATATACGGGGACCCTTCGAAAATTCTTAAATTGCAGGGTATTTGGTTTTATTTCTACCTCCACATGATCTTAGACTTTCTAGCGGAAGCTTTCTGGGGAAATGTTAATCCTTTGACCTTCTGACATTACCCTTTCTCCACTCCCTTCAGAAAACCAGTTAAGTCACTGTGGTACAGAAGCTCCATAAACAGAACAGCTATTTGTAACAGAACATCATATATACCTCTATTCAAGCCTCTCCTCAGAACTATTTGCATCCAGGGGCACCCGGGTGGCTCAGTTGGTTAAGCGTCCGACCTTAGCTCAGGTCATGATCTCCCAGTTCGTGGGTTCGAGCCCTGTTTTGGGCTCTGTGCTGACAGCTCAGAGCCTGGAGCCTGCTTCGGATTTTGTATCCCCCCTCCCTCTGCCCCTCCTCCATTCATGCTCTTTCTCAAAACTAAACAGTAAAAAAAATTACAAAAGAACTATTTGCATCTACTGAAAACGCTTAGAGTTAAATACAAACTATAGACTATTTGAGCCTGTACAGGCAAAAAAAAAAAAAAAATCATTTCAATGTATATTGCAAACTTGTAAAATTGAACTGTAAGCTTTCCCAAGAGTTTACAACAGATTTTTTTTTAATTTTTTAAGTTTATTTATTTTGAGAGAGAGAGCAAGTGAGCAGGGGCGGGACAGAGAGAGGGAGGGAGAGAATCCCGAGCAGGCTCCCCACTGTCAGCACACAGTCTAATGCGGGGCTTGAACCCACGAACCGTGAGAACATGACCTGAGACAAGATCAAGACTCAGACGCTTAACTGAGGCACCCAGACACCCCTGCAACAGATATTCTATTTGTTAATGTCATGTTCTTAGGTACGGCAACCACGACATGTAAACCCAGTGACTTCTCAAGCTGCCATCAAGGACTCTCGTGGCCACAATACTACGTGAACCATGATTTTAGGAGAGAAGTTACAGCTGTATACGCTGACTACAGGGTATAATATATACGTATATACCCTACACGCCCTTTTTTTTAATTCTGAGAAACACTGGTCTGAGACGGAGGTATGTACCATAAGCTAAAGTGTTGAGATGACAGAACCTGACTCCCCATCACTGTGAGGCTGCATTTCTAGTCAAAGGCAAAGAGGGACAAGACCCGGTGGCTGTTTCTTATTGAATTTTCAAGTGCCTTCAGTTCGTTAGATGTCTTTCGTTACCTTTCACTAAAAATTGAACCTCAAACCCTCCCTCTCTTCCTCAAGACCTCTGGCTTGAAGCATCTAGACTGTAAATGAAGGCAGAAAGAAAGAGAAAAAAGAAAACTACCACCATGGAGTCACATTAAAAAACAAAAACGACATTTCTAGGCAGACAGCCCTTCCTCCGCTATCCTGCCTGCCGCTCCCTCATGGTGTATTCTACAAACTTCTATCTCCTAGTCCTGTCTCAGGTGAATTCTTTCACCACCTGCGACTCGGGCCTCCATTGGATGGTCACCCCACATCTGGGGGTCCTCCCGGGGAACCTCTGCCAGGACGGGGTCAGGGCACTCCCCCGGTTCTGGGGACTTTCTCTGGTGGCCGGACTGTAGCACTCCTTGCAGAACTGACCACCTCCCGCCAAGGTTACTCCTGGGTGAGGATCTGAAGCCCCAGGGGGAACCACCCTGATGCCCAGGCCCAAAAGGGTGACAACTGAAGGCCTCTGGCCAGGGCAGCTCCCTGGTGTGGCCTGAAGGTCTGAGAGCAAACAGGTCAGCCTGTCCCCGCCTGTGAGGGTCAAAGACCCCTTTTCTCCCCCTACCCCCACCTGCAAGGGCTCCATTCCCAGCTGGCAATAGCAGCTCAGCCAGGGCGAATCCACACACGCTGTGGTCTCATGGCTGACTCGGGCCCCCGAGGTTCCCTTTACCCCCCATGGATCTGGCCACCATCTTGATCTACGGGCAAGATCATCCCTACATGTCTGAGTGAATCCCACAGTTCCACAGACAAGTGAAGATTCACCAAAGATTCCAGCCCACACCATGAGGGTCCCCTCCCGCTGTATCCCACGGACCCAGGCACCACAAAGTTTCACCTAGCTTGCCTATCAGCACGTTAATCTAATACCATGCTCTGGTCTCTAACTGCACAGAACCCTTGGTGGACGGACACATTTAGGGAGGGATAGTGTGTACATCCCCGCCCCCTTCCCGAATGAAGCAGCTAGTGAAGAGGAGACCTCCACCCAAATGCCAAAGATCTGT